GGCACAGTGTTTGATTTTCATGGTCAGAAATTTAAAAATAAATAAGTTATCTCATTGTCACAGCTGGAGAAGGAGAGGAGATTAGCTGCAGCCTCTCCCAGCGCCGAACACGATGAACAGCTGGCTCCAGGGCTCATCTACTTCATTCTCATGCGAGGCCGGAGCAGACGGAATAGCTGCAAAACAGGAGCATGGAAAGACCAAGGGCCACTCTCCCGGGTGCGTATCCCTGCGCCCTCCTCTCAAGTCACCCACACCAAAGCGAAGGACAGAGCGGTGCCAACCGTGAGCTGGCCAAAGGGCTGGCTGACGAGCCACAGCTCACCAGGAGTGCCCAAAGAACAAGTAACATCTTTGCAAACACCAGCACTTCTCCTGAGCACTAGTTTTGGAAAGGTTTAAGATTTTTCCATTTGAGAATCTCAGAGACAGTTTCCCCCGTGCAAACACTAGCACAGAAAGTTTTTTGATTTAGCAACAAAAGGCCCTTTGGTTCAAGGTCAGTGAAAGTGGAAGCACCGTTTCTACCACCTCACTGTCCCAGACACCGTGCAAAACAGATGACACTGACAGTCTTAAATAAACTAATTTGTTCTAACCCTGCCCAACACCGATTCCAGTTATTGCCCTAAACGAAGAGCTACGTTGCTGTGCACCGTCACTCTGTTCTGCTCCATGGGAGAAGGAATTTCATAGCAGGGAGTCCAAACAAACACACGTACACTTCTTGGGCCAAAGCACCCTGAGATAACATTTTAAACTGTACCAATCGGTTAGTTCTGCCACAGCCAAACTATTCCCTGCAAAAATACTCTGGATGTTAGAATCACCAAGCAAGTGTGTGCCTTCTGGGCTCTAACAGGTCAGAAACACCCATAATATTCTGTTATTCCCCCTGCACAACTACCCCAGCCTATCCTCACCAAGCTGAGACCATCTCCTGCGAGTGGCATCAGGGCCTCAGAGCTTCCCGGGCAGCTCTCTCCTTGCACAGACGGGCACAGCTCCCACAGGGACCGGACCTGCAGGGGTGTGGGTGACTCCACACAAAACGGGTGCTTTGGCACTAATCAACCAAGCTGAGTCTACAAGGGCACAACTGCAAGATCATCCAAAACATCAGTGAGAGCCCTGCCCACCAAAAGCAGCACAGCAAAACACTAAACACTCCTATTCCCAAGCCCTCTGTTAAACCAGGAGAATTTCAGGTCACCACAACATGGATGTCAGGTGCCCTCTGAGATGTCCCTGGGCTCCAGCTGCCACCTGAGATGGGAGTGCTCCCTGCTAGGTCCCATGTCATATTGCCAACCTCATGCAAGTACCCTCTGACATTTAAAACACTGTTAGAGGTGACATTTCCAACCAGAGTTGCTTCCATACTATGCTCCTCATAGATATTCCTGTTCTGTGTGTGTTCACTTTTTGAAAGCTTGGCAGATGATTGAAAAATGCCTTCCATGCTTTTTAGTCTCCAAGTGATTTTGTCCTGCAGAATTTCCAAGGAAACATCAGCATCCAAGAAGCCCCACTTGCTGCTGGCCAAGTGCCCTCTGCAGTCACTGGCAGGACGGCCCCTCCTGAACACATCTGACCAGCGCCAGGTGTCGGCCGCTCTGGGGTCGCTCTACCCCGTTCCACCATCTTCATGCAGCTGATGAAAGCTATGAAAAACACGAAGCAGGCAAAAATGGAAGCAGAAGGGCACACAGCAAAGCAGACAATTGGCTCATGCCCTGCCTCTTTTTTTCCCTGCCTATCTACCATCAATATCCTACACACCTTCCTCTCTGCTTGTGAAGACAGGCACTCTCCTGCGTGTTTCCATGCGGCTCGGAATCAGTTAGGCAAGCTAATGAATAGCAATGCAGCTGGCACCGGGCGAGAGCAGCGCTCTTCCCCTCCCTCTGCCCTCCAGGTATCTCTGCTTGCAGATGACACAAACGGCAGCTCTCCTCCTGGGCTAACCCGGCTTGCCAGCGGGCAGCTGTGGTGAGGGCAGCTTCCCTAGGGTATGAAGACGTTTTGATCCCTTTGCTTCCCCTCCTGCTTCCTCTGCCTGCCTACGGCTGCCCGCCCCCCCCCTGCCTCACAGCCACAGCCCGGGCAGCAGAGCGGGCACTGGCAGGCGGAGGGGGCAAAACCAGTTTGCTACAGGGCTGGAAACAGGTTCTGTTGGCCCCACAATTAACGACTGAGTTTCTGCCTTTTGTAGGAGCAGTCAGGATCACACCTCCAATTCATCCCACAGGGCAGGAACTGGAAAATTCTGTACTTGTACTGCTCAGGGCGAACAAAAAGAAATACCAGCCCAGAAATGTCTGTCACCCGCCATACTGGACGTGCCATGGCCACCACTGAACAAGGAGAGACACCACTGAACAAGGAGAGACACCACTTTCACCAGGGCTCTCGATATCTCTGTAATTTACGTCTTTTGTTACGGCTGAAGCACAGAATGAAACAAAAACGGGCTTTAAACCCATGAAGACTTTCAACCTCTTTGGACTTAAAATTTAAAAAAAAAGGATCCAAAAATTCTGACTGAGAGTTTGTCGTTGCAGAGTCTTTTGGGGGTTTGGTTCCCGTTCCCCCAGGTGACCCAGTGGCCACGCTGCATCCCATCCTCTGCTTCCGACCCAGCACAACGTGTCTAACACTGCGTGGCCAGGCAGAGTTTGGGAGGCAGCAATTGCCCGTGAGCCTGAACCAACCACGCGGGTGGAACACACACACAAACAACAACGCTCCCCAGCTCCAAGAGAAGCCTGATGGATTTTTTTGGTCAAAACGCGTCAGCTCATAAGCGAAGCTCCAAGTGGAAGGTTGAATCTTTCCCTGATGTCAAGCCCAATCTTCCAAACCCAACAAAGTCCCGGACAACCTTAGTTTTTGCACTGAAAACCAAAACTTGTTCGGAGATTCCTCCTTTGTGACTTCCCTTTTGTTCAGGGCAGCCACTGTGCCGGCAGCGTGGAGCAGAAGCTACCGGCACATGGGATTATTCCAGCTTCCTCCAGATGCACAGGTACAGATTCTGATCGCTCTGAAGCGATGCCAAAGACAGTAACCACTGAGAGCACTAAGAGTCGGGACTGATAACAGGCAAGTTTAAGCACTACTCGTGTGATAATTACATAGTTGTCAAAAATATATAAGCTGCCAGCACACAGAAAACACAAAGTTTGGAATACTTTGAGAAAGCAAAGACAACCTTCTGCCCTAGTCCATCACGCAGTGAGCTCTGTGTAGTTCTCTAAGGAGATGTCTTACCAGGCACCAAACAGCACTTTTCTGAGAGCATCTATTCCCGATTCTCCTGTTTCCACAAGTGACTGACAGGATCTGCAATCGTGTGTGTTAACTGGGAGGTTTTTCCCACTATCCACCGTAGCACTGGGAGAAATCCCTTCACTGTGTACACTGAAATACATCCGGAAGTTGTGATGCAGATATCTGCTACAGTTTCATGGCTCAGCCCATCTCAAGTCTTGATCCAGCAAGGCACCAGCACTTGTGCTGGCCTTTAAGCTTGTGAGACTCAAAGGGAACCCTGAAAAGATCTTTCACTCGATAAGATCACTGAGATCCAGAGGCAAGAACCCTTTCCTTTCCTCACAGAGTCTGGCGTCTCGCATGGCTATGATAAACTGCATACAGAAGCTGAATATTCACCACTGAAAACACTAAGTAGGTTTAGCAGTCACCATAGAATCACAGAATGGTCTGGGTTGGAAGGGACCTTCAAGATCATCCAGTCTCAACCCCCCTGCCATGGGCAGGGACACCTTCCACTACACCAGGTTGCCCAAAGCCCCATCCAGCCTGGCCTTGAACACTCCCAGGGATGGGGCAGTCACAGCTTCTCTGGGCAACCTGTGCCAGTGCCTCACCACCCTCAGAGGGAAGAGTTTCTTCCTTGTATCCAAAGTCCCTCTCCAGCTTTCCTGTAGCCCCTTTAGGTACTGGAAGGCTGCAATAAGATCACCCCAGAGCCTTCTCTTCTCCATCATCATGAAGTGATGCTGGGTGTTTTACCAACGACGTCTGTCTTAAAAAAAAACATATTCTCATGTCTTTTGAACTGTTCTTTTTCCTGCT